TCACAAAAATGCTCCTTGCTAGCTAGCGAACGCATACGACGCTGGTTGGAAGCAGACCCGGAACGAACCATACACATGTCATGGTGCCCGAGCCATGTTAACGTGCCCTTGAACGAACGAGTTGATACCCTAGCTAAAGAGGGGACTGAACTCACGCAACCCGCGATTAAATCTTATGCCTACATCAAGCAAAAGATTACTGAGAATGAAGTTCGCGTATGGAGGCAGAAAATCAAAGAGTCCCCTAAATATAGAGGACACCAACTGATAGCTGGAGATCATCACGATCACCTACGACAAATCAAACACACGTCCTCGAACTGGTTCATAGCCCACAGCGGGGGAAAGAACCGAGAGATGGGCAGACTCACGAGGTTAATGTCTGGACACGCACCGATTGGAGCGTTCCGACAACGATTCAACCTAGAAGGACCCACCACATGCTGGTATTGCCACCATGAATTGGGGCAAACAACGACAGAAACAAGGGACCACATAATATACATGTGCCCGGGATGGAGTCGTCTATACGACTTTAAAACAATGCACATAGCGGGTCACCCGTTGTATGACAAGACTAAGATAGGACACCGTCTTAAAACTGATACTGAAGTACGCGAAATGCATCGAGCGTACTGGGAGATGCAAAATGACTTGACCAAAGTCGACGAATTGACTGAATACAGCCAAGATCTTAACTACAGAAAGAAAATACTAGGCACCAAGTGGGAAGATATATACCACTTCGTGCGAGCTAACCCCATGGCGGGAACCTTCGAATGGTCTGACCTTGTTGATAAAGCGTTTGAGGATGCCAACAAAGGTCGTGACTATACCACGTCAGTCCACATATGGAAAGCTCTCATGCACTCGAAGAGACGCAAGGAGAAACGAAATGATTACACTAAAGATTTGGAACAGCGCTGTAGAGCCACATACTCCAGCGCGGTTCGACATCACAACCGCCTCCTTAAACCAGGGGACGTACCAATGGATCCGGGAAAGTGGCAACAATCGTACCCCAACCCGGACCAAGCCGAACGTAAATTTACACAGTGGTATGCGAAGTACGCGGTATCTCAATACCGAATACTTTTCAACCACGACGAGAGCCTCCCAGTGGTTGAGGAAGAGGCATTGGCGCGAGAGTTTGGATACAGGGGCAAATACAAACTTGTAGGACAAACTTCCGAGGCGTTTTCTGACGCTGAAGATCCGCCCGCAGACGAGGATGAATGGGGCAATCAGGTTGACGAAGAGCACAGATAGGTTGGGCGAATCGTCATAGGGCGGCTGGAGCATAACCGTCCGACAACCGGTGACCATACTTAATGGGGGTCACCATGAAGATAATTTGTGTTTCGGTTATGTAGGGCGTGGGTGAGGGGAACCATTAGAGGTAGGTCTAATGTTTGGTGAGGTAGAGTCCATCGACCGGCTCGGTGCTCGTGCGAGGCCAGGGCCGTCTGGCGCGGTCCTGCGAATTCCTCTGCGCCCCCAGACCTTAGGTCAACCAGGTGAACCGGCACGGACCCTGTTGTGGCTGTAGCACAGGCCCTCATGTAGCAGTAGTTCTACGGGCCTTTATAAACAAGACGGAAAAAAAAAAAA